AGAGCTTCAAATATTGGTTGTTCATGGTTGTTGGAGTATTGATGACAATGACAATCTTGTAATTACTTGAAGATGATGAGGGTGAGAGAGTAAATATGTTATTTTCGAAAAAAAAAATAAAAAAACAAATTGATGGCATTTTCGTGAATTATATGAACTTGTGGGGTGAATTGGACAAAATAAAGTTCCAAAAAAAAAGGAGGTTAGTTTTGTGGTTGACTTCAAGTTTCAGGTCAATTATGCAAAAAGCCCTCTATGTTTTGTGTTATTATTTTGTGAATAACATGATTTGATTAATGTTAAATGTGTAAATAAACAGCTAGTAATACATATTCTGTAAATGAGAGTGAGATACTAATTAAAGAGAAGGTAACATCATGGACCTAGCGTTTGTCTGCCATGTAATCTCGCAGAGCCGTGACAAAGATTTTTGATGGCATAAGCTAGATAAGAATAATATTTCTATTTTAAAAATGATATATAGTAAAATAATATAAAATAGTGAAATACATTTTTTGTGAAATGGCAGAGCAAAAATATTTTTTAATTTATTTTCAATCTATAATTATAAAATGGAACAGGTATTTAGGTTTTATATATAAAATTATATTCTAAATTTTAGCTCAAAGGTTACTTTATTTTTTCAATAAAAATTAATAGGAAAAAAACAACTCCAAAGATATTGATAGTGCTTTATGTTTAAGAATTTATTTTTATCACAATACCTAAATTATTAAAATAATTAAACAACAAAGAGAAAATTAAATAGACGAACGTGAAACTGAAGCAACTCCAAATGTAGTGGTAGAAATCTAGATTCAAGTTAGAACACTATCAGAAATAGTTACCAAGTGAAACTATATGCAAACATATTTTTGAAAAATTTGCTATTTAGTTTTTACAAATAAAAACGATGATGGTGCTTTATGTTTAAGAATTTATTTTAGCTCAAAGGTTACTTTATTTTTTCAATAAAAATTAATAGGAAAAAAACAACTCCAAAGATATATTGATAGTGCTTTATGTTTAAGAATTTATTTTTATCACAATACCTAAATTATATAAATAATTAAACAACAAAGAGAAAATTAAATAGACGAACGTGAAACTGAAGCAACTCCAAATGTAGTGGTAGCATTCTAGGTTCAAGTTAGAACACTATCAGAAACAGTTACCAAGTGAAACTATATGCAAACATATTTTTGCAAAATTTGCCCTTTAGTTTTTACAAATAAAAACGATGCCTTAAGCCTATGTTTAACTTTAGTATTCCCTTAGGAGGCACAGCTCTCTAAGCTCGGTAGTAGAGTAGAATACGTAGACATGTTTAGTTAGGAAACAATGTATAGTTCAGACCCTTCACCACATTGAGTTTAATTTAAAATAGAAAGAGTAGCAAAAAGATGATTTGATAAGCAAATGTTATGTGTAAGTAAACAGCTGCGTGTTCCAAAAATAGAAAAGTAAACAGGTGAGGAATATGTAATTGTGGGGGATGGTAAGATCATGGACCAAAAGTATGTATATCATGTAAGCTCAACAGTAGAATAGGTAGACACTGTTTAGTGAAAAAAATGTTAAAATTTCAAACATCCACCACTACATTTTTCCAATTGTCTCTAAGTCAAAGTAGATGTGGAACCCAAATGTTGCGTTTAGAAATAACCGGCCTGCGTATTGGACGGTTAGACACTGAAATGCCTTAACTGTTTGAAAGCACATATTATTGCATAGCTGTTGAGTTAATAAAGTTCTAAAGGAATAAGACAAATAACTTTCAGTTTCTCACGTCCAACTATTTTGGGATTATGGCAGTGACCAGCACAATTTCGGGCTCAGACCCGAAGCTTTCCAATTTTTTTTTATGAAATGCAAAATCCAGCTATCAACAGACTAACACACAGTTATATCCCTCTTAACATGCAATGTTATGAAGGTTAATGAGAGAGTCGGCGATCAAGAATTAGCTGTACAAAATACCTATCTATACGTAGCGTCACCATGACACTGATGTGCCCCGTGAGTGCCGTGTTTATAGTGCTCCTGATTGTACTGAGCTCGCCTATGATGTAGCAGTTAGAATCGTTAGCAAGAAGTTAGAGATGTAGAGGATTAGAATAAAAACAGGTACAATAGTTGTTTGTTGATATCTGCCAACGCCAAGAGCTGCTCATGGTTGCGAAATCGAAACTGCTAAGTTGGTATTGGTTTTGTCGAATCCTTGACTTCTGCAACCGACGTGCCATTAAAGAGTATGGAGACGGGGGGACAACACTTAATCGGAAATTGTTATTGCTTCGTGCGACGTCAAAAACCATGGAGAACACAGAGCCTCCACTGAGACGGTGACGGTAGGTGCTGAGGCGGTTTGCATTGGCGGATCATTGAATAAGAGTATACGGTTTGACAGACGACAATAAAAAGCTAAAACAATCGGAATTATAAGTTTTTTATGAAGCTTCAGTAAGAGAAAGCGGTGGTTCCCCTTGCTTACCTTTTCCTCGAGTAGGTGACTCCCATGAACTCACCACTTTTCTTGATATTCCTTGCCTCCCATCTTTCAAGTCCGCAAGAAGAACGTATGAATTCGCCATTGTTAAAGCTCTTCGTTGACAGAGTTAATATTGGCTGAATGCGTTTGTGTGAGGAGATCTCATCGGTTTTGAAGAGCCAACTGTGATCATGATGATTAAATGCATAAGTAAGTGGTAGTAGATTGCAAACGGTAGCCGTTACACAGCCATTGCGAAAACTGTGGAGATTGGAGGAACTACGCCGGCTCTTTTACGAAGGTAGACAAGCGAGCTAGACAAAATCCTAAAAGGTATTGGGTCTTAGCTAAATTTTCGTTAGGCCTTATAAATAAACATGATCCAACACAGTTGACCCAATATCATAAACACAACGAAAACAAAAAAATTTAAGGCTTGGACACGTGGCAATAATTGCCCCATGCTCTAATGCTGATGTGGAGTCTTAAGAAGTGAGAAAAGTCTATTTTATTATATAAGATACCAAAATTAGAGGGTGATATAGATAAATATAATAAGGTAGGGTGTAAATAAAATAACAGAGAGGATCAATCGATACATATAAGACAATATTGGGGTGGTAAGTGTGAATAAATAACTAGAAGAAGAAACCCGAGTATCCGAGTCAATATTCGAGTATCCGAGTCCGACAGTTGAAAGCCACGCGCAATTCCTGTCTTAACGATCGGATCGTTCGCGCGAAATATCTGGTACTATAAAAATGGCAATTTTTTTTTTTTTTTTAGAAAGGGTTAAATCTAATTTACTATTTAGTTTCTTGAAGTAAACGTTTTCTCAGTTGAATCCAATTTTTCTAGGGCTCTTTTTAATTCACGCGTATGAGCCATTTTCTATTGATGTAGTTTGTAGTGAAGATGAGAAACACGAGGCATGTTCATGTGATGTGAGGACTAAGAGTCTCGTATAACATTTGTGTATTTAAAAAAAAAAAAGGCATTTTCTTTTAAAGTGAAGTTAAAGTAATGTGTTATAGGCTCTGCATAAGAACTGTGATAGCACTGAAGAAGAACATGTATAATAGAAGTGGTGAAAGGTTACTGTGAAAGGGATATAGCGTAAAGGCTGTAGCTTTGACTGTTAAAAGGCCTTAGCTCTCCTCCATACATAACTCAGAGGAAGCATGGGTCCAAAATGCAGGTCTCTTAGACATTCCAAAGGTGGAAATGAGTAGGTTTTCTCATCAGATTCCAGTTTTCAGACACGAGAAGAGAGCAACAAGGCTATATGGAGTATACTAGTCGCTTGACCCTGCAGCAATTCTAGGTGCCACCACCATAATCTTAGACTGATGACGGTTCCCCAAGTATGCATTTGTTTTCTTGGATCAGAGATTATATGTGTAGACAGCTGTTATACGGATAAGTAGCAAAGTTGTTGTATACACAGATTATAAGGTATCAGATTCTATTCTAACCTGTCCCCCATAGCTTATGACCTATGACTAGAGACAACGTTATTGTATGCAGACTGTTGTATTTCTTATCTCTCTTTGTTTATGTGCAGCGGAGAATCTAACAATCTAGCAAAGCGCTCAAATCTGCAAAAAAATCGTACTTTTATTCTCTCAACTCATGAAGTTCAAAAACACCATAAGAAAAACAAATGAAGCCAAGAAAGAGCTAAAACAAAGCTCATAGATTCTGTAGCTGGCTTAGTCTAACAAACAAACTCCAACAGCTGATCGATCGAACTCCATCTCTGGATGTTTACGTTCGTTCAACTTCTGCTTCTTCAATCCTTCGCGCAACATCTTCAAGGAAGAAGGAAAAGCAAGGATAAATCAACGCAACCATTAGAAGAAAAGCAAAGATGATGATCATGATGATGAATTGCATTTAATTTACCTTTTATATCTCTTTTTGGAACCACAGGGACAAAGTGCATTGCGGCTGATCTGCCCACTTTTGGCCAAGTTTGATCTCGCCATGTCCATAGGGGTTGACCCCATCATTTTTTGCAGCTTCAATGTACCAAGGTCACAAAATTTAGTATCAGCTAAGTGTAACAGCAAACTAACCAAACAATGATCTGTCTGGTTGTAAACGAATATCTTAACAACTGGCATAGTGCAAGATAACTCCATTTTCTAACCAATGAACATTAAATGCAACCCATCATCAACACAACCAAGCTACAAACTAGATCTTATTATATAAAGGAGGCAGGATCATCAGTTTATTGTACAATACATAAAGTTTGTTTAGAAGATGGTTGATGTAGAATTGATGAAGAATCAAGTTCTTCAGTAACAAAAACAAACAAAAAAAGAGAATGTACATTCTTTATACAATATCTCAATAGCTCTAAGCAATGTTATGAGTCTAGAAGAGTAAAGGTGATGCGGCAATAGAACTAAAATGTAAATGAGTATGTAAATTTTGGAGTGAGAAGAATACCTCTCCCATATTCTTTGGTAATGGCTTGCCTCCATCTTTCAACTCTGTCATCTTCTTATGAGCTTGTCTTGCCCAAGTAAACTTAGACAGAGTATTCTCCACATCCGCAATGGTGCAGTTGCAATTCTTAGCCGCATCTTGCTTGTGACTTGCTTGCAGATTCTACACATCAAGAAACCTAGTGCCACAGTCAAGAGATCTGACTAACATAATACAAACAAGTTCTTTTTTCAAACTGTAATGTTCAAGAAAGAAACCAACCTCCCCTGTAGCATCACGAGCTCCAAGATACCTCATAATAGCTTCTTGCTTCTCGAATGCATCTGCAAAAGTGGCCTCGCTGCTTCGACCTACGATGTACTGCTTGAACTTCCCTAACCTCTTAGCATTCTTCAGTTCATCAGCGAATCCTAGAATCAGTTTTGCATCGAAAGAGACAAGCTTTGATAAGTACATCAGCTTATCTCAGGTTAAACAACCAAAATAAGCATTCTTCAATTCATAAGCCAATCCTAGACTTAGTTTTGCATCCAAAGAGACAACCTTTGATGAATACATCAGTTTCTCAAGTAACTCAACGGAACACACAGTTCCAACTTTGGAGAAATGTAATAACTTTACCCTTCTTTGATTTCATCAGCAATTACTAGAATATTTTTGCATCCAAAGAGACAACCTTTGATGAGTACTATTAGTTTATCTCAGGTTACTCAGCCAAACACACAGTTCCAACTTTAGAGAAAATGTAAGAACTTTAGCATTCTTCAATTCATTGGCGAACATTAGAATCAGTTTTGTATCCAAAGAGACAACCTTTGATGAATACATCAGTTTATCTCAGTTCCAACTTTAGAGAAAATGTAAGAACTTTATCATTATTCAATTCATTGGCCAATACTAGAATCAGTTTTGCATCACAAAGAGACAACCTTTGATGAATACATCAGTTTCTAAACAGAACAAAAAGTTCCAATTTTTAAAAATGTAAGAGCTTACGGAGAAGAGTGAATTCTTCAACGGGGAGATTCGATTGTTCCACAGGAGTGTCCTTGTTTCCTGTAAAGACACCTTTGATCGAATCCATCCATCCATGCCGCGTCGCTGTGGAGGTGATTGATCGGTGCTGAGACGGAATCGGAGGACATCGAGAGATGGAGATGTAGAGCGAATTCGCAGAAGAAGAAAATGGGTCGGATCTTAACCCGAAAATGTACTTGAGAGTTCGGGAATATGACATTGCTTGTCTATTGAAGTTGATTTTCTGAACAATTAGGGTTTTAGCGTTTCATCTCAGGTGTAGAAGAAGGAGAAGGAGGAGAAAAACCCTCACCAAAACGCAGCGTTTTGGATATTGGAAAATAGTTTTTTTTTTTTTTTGATCAAAAAAGAAAACTATTTTCTTACTGATAAAAGAAAAAAATATAACAGTAGTTTTTCAAAAAAATCTAGTCAAACTGAAGATATTTTTTTGATCTGGTATTGAGAAGAAATCTATTAAGAATCAAGAAAATAATATCAAATAGGTAAATACATTATTACAATCAATATTGTATTTACTTTGACTATAGGAGTTACATATGTTCAATTAGACTATAAATATAGTAATGTAATCCCAACCTCTCAAGCCTACTTTCAATCTTCCCAACACCAGGAAAAAAAAAAAGATGAAGATCTCTTTTTCTTCTATTCTCCTCATATTCATTGTCATTTTCATCACTTCTTCTTCAGGTAAAAATCCTGATTTTGTTTGATTGTTTTTGGGTTAAACTGTCTGAAACTTAAAACAATGTAATTTTGTTTTTGATTTTATGAATAGAAAATAATAAAATGGTAGGAGAAGCAAAGAAGTACTGTTTTGATAAGTGGAGATGTGAAGGAGAAGACGAGTGCAGACAAAAATGCATTGATGTTCATAAGGGAAATGGAATATGTGATTTGTTCACTGCTTTTCCGGTTCCTAAGGAATGTTTATGCCGATATGATTGCTAGTTTCTCACTATGTATACAAAAATAATGCCTTCTTATATTATAATGGGTAAACTTGTGTTTTGTTTAATCTTATGTGATCAAAAAACCAAACTCATCCTAAAATTTTTAAATATATTGTTCCTGACATATGATATAATTGAAACGATATAAAGAATATTAGTATGGTTTTTGAGCAAGATTGACACGCACAAATCCATAAATATTTTATTTTATCAAAAAGAAAGTCTTAAATATATTACCATCATTTTAGTGAATAAGTGAGCTATATATATGATAAATAATTATGAGTAAAATATGATACTAGGACATAAAGATATGTTAGTCATATAATAGTCCTTCAAAGTCAGAGTTCCACCAACCAAAGCAGAGATAACATGGAGATTGATCTCTCAAGAGTTAGTATCCGGCCGTTCTCTCTAACGGATGCTCACGATTTCTTGAGATGGGCCGGCGATGTTCGAGTGACCGGGAATCTTCGTTGGCAGACTTTTACGTCGGAAGAGGAAGCTTTGGTCTTTATACGAGACGTATGCTTGCCACATCCATGGAGACGTTCCATCTGCATCGATGACCGTTCTATCGGATTCATCTCAGTCTTCTCCGAGTCCGGCGATGATAGGTACAGTTACTTATAGCCGCTGGACAATTAATTCTCTAAAATATATAGTCATATATACTGTATGTGATTTCATTTTATGGCATGCATATGTTATATTGATCCAAATCAATGTTAGTGAATATATATAGGTGTTGTTTGAATACCATTTAAACCGTGTTTTGAAACAAAGATGTTTTTGAAAACTCATCTCGTTTATAATCTATTTACCGACTAGGAGAAAATTCTTGAGTGCTGCATAAATCGATTTTTATAACACTGATCCAAATGAACTGAGTTTTGTCATTTCAACTCAACTAAAATTCAGATATGAAGAAAAACATATAGCATAAGAGTAAATGTGATATTAAACATTCACTAACAAAACGTTCATTATTTGAGCACATGTAAATATCTTCTTACAATTGTATATTTGAAGGTTCAAAGCACATATTGGGTATGGATTATCTCATGAGTATTGGGGAAAAGGAATAGCTACAAGAGCAGTGTCAATTGCAGTGACCCAAGTGTTCAATGACTTGCCTCATGTTTTGAGGCTTCAAGCTTTTGTTCAAACACAAAACAAAGCATCCCAAAGAGTTCTTGAGAAGATTGGGTTTAAGAGAGAAGGTTTGCTTAGGAAGTACAGTTGTATCAAAGGTATAATCCATGATGTGTTTGTTTATAGTCTCTTGTCCACTGATCTACTTCCTCTTCCATAATGTTTCATATCTTTGGAAATTTTACGAAATATCAAGAAATCAATGTTTTAAAGATAGAGTTTAGGAAATGTAAATATCAAACCGATTTTTTTGGTATTTTTTTAACCAAACAGAACCAAGCCAGGTAGTGTTTTGTGTATAAGCCTCATTCAAATGTTAAACTCTCTGCTTCACGTCTCACCGAGTCGAATAACTGAGTCGATAAGTAACGTTCCCCACCGCTAGGGAAAACCACCTGAAAACCGGACGATAACCAAAGTATGTTTTCTATAAAACCCGGTCTGACTTTTGGTTAAGGTAGACCATTTATGTTATGGCTAAAACCTTTTACGTCTTATTTAACTGGAGTTGCATGTAATAACTCTGTTTCACTTACAACTATGAGCTTCCCGGCGTTTTCTGGCCGTTTTGCCACCTTAATAGCAGCGGCTGCAGCAGCTCCTGAAGATATTCCCACCTACACATTTATCAGAAACGTTGGTTTTATGGTTTCAAACCAAAACAAAGTTATTTAAACCGATTGAACCACAGATAGTACCAGTAATCCTTCTTTCAAAGCAAGAAGCTTGGCTGTTTCAATAGCTTCCACGCTTGTCACCTGTGAAGAAAACGATTTAAAGATTACAATCTGACATCTCAACTCAAAGAGAAATGAGATAAAACTCTCAGCTACACATTACTTGAATGATTTCATCAAGAACGGTGAAATCCAAATTGTCCGGTACGATACCAGCCCCAATACCTTGGATCATATGTGGACCTAGAAGCCATGGAAAGTGATCAAGAAGGAGACTTAAACAGCAAGGAACTCCACAAACTAATGATGGTCTACTTAGATATTTATATTACACTCAAAATCAAAACAAACTTTTTACCTGGTTGGCCTCCACTGAGTACTGCACTCTCTGTAGGTTCCACTCCATAAACCTGTTGATAAGAAAAAAAGTTCTCAAGAAAGAAAAACAAACTAAAATGTTTCTCATGATATGATTATGGACTTGTAACTATAAGTGTATGCACCTTTAAGTCTTTATTCTTCTCCTTGAGGAACTTTCCTGAACCGGAAATGGTTCCACCGGTTCCAACACCAGCCACCAATATATCTACTTCCCCTGCAGAGTCTCTCCATATCTCTGGACCCGTGGTTACATAATGAGTCTGCATTAAAAACAGTTTAAATTAACAAAAAAAAAGATAGTTAGAGATCAAAGGAGAGTCCATGATATATATATACTTGTGGGTTTGCAGGATTTTTAAACTGTTGTAGTATGATACCATCTGGAGTTTTGCTTAATATCTCTTCTGCTTTGTCAAATAATCCTTGAACTCCTTTCGTTGGGTCTGTTAGGTGAACCTCTGCACCTAATGCTAATAGAATGATCTTTCTCTCAAGACTCATTGTTTCAGGCATTGTGAGCACAACTTTGTAACCTCTAGCTGCTCCAACAAAGGCTAAACCGATCCCAGTGTTACCAGAAGTAGGCTCAATCAATGTGCTCTAAAGTAGTAGTGAAATATCACCAAGATTTTAGTTACAGTTTGAGTCTAGTTAACTGGATTGTACGAGTTAATCGTTGTACCTTTCCGGGACTAATCAATCCTTTGTCTTCAGCATCTTTAACCATACCATAAGCAATTCTAGCAAGCAGAAGATCATTCCAAGAAAAAATTAATCATATGACAAAAATGTGTTATAAAGTAAAGAGAGAGTGTTTAGTTAAATGATGTATACCGCTCCTTGACACTAGAGCAAGGCTCCATCATCTCAAGCTTTGCGGCAATACGAGCAACACAACCATCTACGATGTTGTTCAGATACACCATTGGAGTGTTACCTATCAACTGTCACATAATGCAAAAACACATGAGACTAAGTACACAGCTTGAAGAAAGAAACTAAGACAATGTTCTTTTTTATTTTTCCAATGGAGTAAATGATGAAAAAGAGTTGAAATATTTGGATTTACTTGAGTCACGTCATCCTTGATAGAGCAATCCATGCTAATGGTCTTTGATATTCCTGCAAGAATTAAAAAGATTTAAAGACACAGCCTGTAAGTACAATTGTAAGAGCAAAAAGACAGTGTCAGCTTTCAAAACTGCTTCAGATTCGAATCGGTGGAGTGAGACCAAGATTATGAATTATTTAGTCAAACTCGAAAAAATATCAAACCAACATTAAGAATCAGATTTGAACATGAGAGTATATATGAAACTAATATCAAGATTCAACAAAACAAATGGGTTTCTCAGTGAGTAATGCAAAACACTAAAGTTGACTAAAATAAACATTGAAGTTAGAAGATTTAGGAGGAAAAAAGGACGAACAAGTACAAGAGAGTTCTTAGCAAATACGAGATCCAAATCTGAGAAGCAGAAGAAGAGGAAAAATAAGTGGATTGGTACTTTGCCTTATTAGACAAAAGAACACGGAAACAGATAAAACCGGAGCAATTATTTCAGTACAGCTCGAGCAATAATTGCTTTAAGCAAAATGAAAAGGACTTCTCTTTAGCCAACACAACAAGCTCGTGCGTATTTAAAATCAGTATATAACCTAAATTTTAAATTTTTTTGTTCTTACCAAAGTTAGTAACATTTACCAATCTTTTAACATTTTTTTATTCTTACCAAACTTTAAAAGCGAGAGCTTTCCTCAAGAAGGGAAGTACTTAATCAAATAATTTTTCAAAGATATAATACATTTCAACTATTGCACGAGATCAAGAAACAAACAAAATGAAACAATAAACATGTTATTACAAATATTATTAGACAAAGATTGGGACACAATCCAAAAAAGTCTGTTTTTTAGTTGAACAAATGATTCTACCAGAAAATTATGATCTACTCCCTTAGTTTCAAAAAGATGCATGTTTTACTATTTTTCACACATTAAAAAAAATATGAATTTTAAATTAGTAATGTATTATCTTTTTTAATGTACTATTCTCTATAACTTTTAACCAATATGATTTTAATAAATGTTTTGAAATTTACAATTTAACATTAAATTAAACATTGAAAATGTGAAATATGTATTTTTTTGAAACAAATTATTTTCTGTAAAACATAGATTATATTGAAAAGGAGGGAATATTCAAAGGTCAGTTGTGTGTCCTGACGTATCTTGGTCCGAACTAAAAGTCAGCTTTTATTTATCTTCAAAACGGCGATTTTATTTTCTCTAATGGCTTATAACATTGAAACAAAAAAATTGGTGAAATAAGGAAGGAAAAAAAGGATTAGTATTGATGTCTAGTTGGAAAAAAAAAATCTAAAAGCTTACAAAATAAACTTGAAATTACATAAAAGGTGATTATGTAATGGCTGAGACTGTCTAGAGGTCTCACTTCTTCTTGGGATCACCAGCCTTGGTCTGCGATGTAAAGCAAAAAAAAATGATTAAACAGTAATCATAGTGTATTACACTTGTGGTGTATTACACTTGTGTTTATAGAGTTCTTTAGTAACAGTAGGTCTCTCTCACCTTCTTAACACCACGTATCTTCTTGGCACGGTTCTTCCTTTCCTTAATTTGTTTCCTCGATTTCTCAATCTTGGTGTCAAGACCATTCTACAAATCACATAGACAACCATATTTATATACATATGAAGTTTGAGGCACATCATTATATAATCTTACAAGAAGAAGAGGAAGACTAACACTAAAGATAATCAAGAAGAGTATATCTGCTAGTTAGTTAGTAACTAATGCTAAACTATAGATAAAGACATTTCAAGAGATGGTAGAGTGGAAAAGAGCATGTTACCCGGATAAGTCTATACTTGGGTTCGAATTTCTTTGCATTTTCGACATTGTCATAGATCAAACCAAACCCAGAAGATTTACCACCTCCAAAGTGGGTTCTGAATTTGAAAACAAAGATGGCATTTGGGTCCTTGACCTCGTACATCCTTGCTAGCTTCTCCTTCAGCTCAGCCTTTTTATAGTAAAAAAAATGAAAACCAATCTCTCCCATGAGAACTAAGTAGCTAAGGCATGTGGCAGTAGAGATCATACCTTTGAAACATTGGCTCTACCAGGGTGAAGAACATCAATAACCTACATTTACATATCAAACACTATACTCTCTTAGTCTCATTTCGTCCAGAATATTTGTTAAAGCTAAGTGAATTAAAGTATCAAACACACTCTTTGCATTATGTTCAATACTAAAACCTAAAGACACTGTGTAACGTGATATACAAGAGTTTAAGCAATGGAACTACTCACGAACTGCTTCCTTGAGAGAAGTCTGTTGGTCATGAACTTTCGGGTTCTGATGGTCACTGCCTTCTCCGACATTGTTCGGGATCAAACGAAGATCTCTCTTAAAGCTTCGAGTTCGTCGCCAGGTCCGGTAAGAGATAGAGACGCGAGCTGCAAGCTGGATCGTTTATAGTGATGGTGTCCTTAAATAAGGGTTTAGTTTTTTGTTTTTTTTTTCTTTCTGAATTTAATGGGTCGTAACTTTCTTGGGCTTATTATAACGCTTGTTTAGTTTACGAAACGAATCACGTTTTTTGAATTTCATTTGTCATCAATAAGCAGAACATGGAAGATAACAAGATAAGCCCAGTGGGGGGGGGGGACTAAGCATTTTTTCTTTTCCAACGGGCATATTTATCTACGGCTTGATTTATTTGTATTGTCAGTCTGGTATATTTTATTTGCAAGTGTAATATTTTTTTAAAAAACTAGTCGGCCCCACCGTCCATGGCTAATGGTCATTTCTCTCGATTCGTGGATCCATCCCGTCTGACGGACAGTATGTTAATTTTTCGTAGACTTGAAATCTTTGTTTATTGATCTTACATTCACTACATAACATTTTTTTCGTGCTTTGGTCTCACTCGTACGATATCGCGAATCACTTTCTGATAGATTATTCATCATTTAACTATTTTAGATTAAACACTCTTAACTCGTAAGTTCTCTTTGGATGTGTTTCTTAAAAGATAAGCAAACTTTAGTAACATATATAACTAAATCAATTCTCTTAAACATTTGCTATATATTATAAACTTGGATGCTATAGTTCATCCCCTCTCAAAGAACGCAATATCTATGTTGCCCCAAAGTTATTATCCATGTTAGATCATATGTTGCCCCAAAGTTATTATCCATGTTAGATCATCCGCAATAGCAAAAAAAACAGAAATCCTTAGCGCTTAGACCTAGGAGATTTCAGTTTGGAAATTATTAAAAAAAAAGTTTTCTAAGGATCAGTCCTTAATTAAGTGGTCTAAAGATTCAATCCTTAGTGACTTGGCGTGCATCTCTCTCGTCGTGTTCTCCTTCTTCCATGATTCCTCCTCCTTCTTTGCTAGGTAAAAAGCTTCTGATATCACAATCGTCGCGCCGCTGCTTCGTCTCCAAGCACCGGTACGTAACATGCACTCGCATGATATCTCCCCCATCTTCTTCACCCCTTTAGACGAAACTCTTTTCTCTAAAAAACAAAAAAAATCAATAATTTATTCGATCAAAGGTAAATAAATCTTCTCTTATCTGGATTTATTCAATTTCTCTCATTCTCAGATAAAATTGTGTCCATTAACGCTTTTTGGGTCTGATCAAAATGGCCAAAACGATATTAGATTACTATGAACAACACATCCAATAGTAATCCAATTAGATTATGTGTTTAACTGGCGTTTGTTATCCTTGTTGTTGTGTGGTTTTGATTTGAGACAAGTCTGGCTCGTGGATTGGTGACTGCATTTGCAATGTTTGCAAGCTTCTCTACCAGGGCATACCATTGGACAAACAATAAAGGTGGTAATGACTCTTTAATAGAGGTATACTATTGGAGAAACAATAGAGGTATGGTCCTTAACTATTCAAACAATTTTTTTTAAAAAAATTAGTTTAATAATCCTAAGGACTCCAATGGTAGTAACACCATTGGAGATGCTCTTAGTGTGAACCTTCACTGATTCCACACTTTTTTGGATTCGATTCTAATACTTGTAATGTTCTATCTGTCTATGACTAATGAACCTTTCACACTCGCTCACTGGATCCATGAACCCCATCTTACCTGATGGACGGTGCATTAACTTTTGGAGAATCAGAAATTATATTTACTTCCATGTATTCACTACATGATATTTTCCCGTGCTTTGATTTCAGTCTCGTATGATATCGCAAATCACTATACTATAGATTATCTTTTGAAAACTTCAGTTCAAAACACTTAACTCTAAAATTCTCTTTCAATGTTTTTTCAAAAATCTAAGCATACACTTTCGTGATATAGATAACTAAATTATTTATCTAAAAAGTTAATACTTTTGAGGAAGAATTAATTTATATAGGTCAATCTGTTAATGAGTTTTTGGTCTTATTAGCCTAGCCACACACACACGCGAGTGTTCAGATAAGATGGCTTTCCACCGCAAAAGATCATATGAAGGTTGTACACTGATTCGACCATGAAATCAAGATCGACAACACAAATAGTCATAACTATATTAGGACAAAAACAACAGCATCTACTTAATTATTAGTTAGCTGCTTGCCGGTGACGTCCCTCTTTGCATTATATACATAATAATGGGCGACCTTTTATTATAATAATATATCATGACCCTCTTTGAATTGTATTACATAATAATGGAAGACCTTATGTAATACTGGTATGTATCAAAACGGTGTAATTTCAATAAGTAACGATTATATTATTGAGGGAAAGAGATTTAAGGACCGACAAGAAAAATAAGTGGAGGAGGGACTAGGGAGATACGAGAAGAATGGTTGGCACTGAAGTGGAGTTGGGTACGAAAAGGGTACGTTTGATCTGTACATATTCAATACCACATGTCATCAATAAACGATTTTCTTTGTAAGGCTCCTTTAAGATCAATTATTACCATCTTCAATTGATAGGGTCAACCTTATTCAATTCTTCATTTCATGTCCCTATCATTTTTCATTATCTTTTGTTTCCCCCCTTTGAATTCTATAATCCGTTTAACGCATATTTCAGACTTTGGATTTTAATGGTGGTCAACCTTATTCAATTCTTCATACTATGTCCCTATCATTTTTCATTTATCTTTTTTATTCGCTTACATCCACTGATTTTTCTTTTGAATTTAGACATTGTATATACAATATCATGCAATATGTTCAATTTTGTTAAACAATTTTATAATCTCATCTGAAACTATAAGATTTGGATTTTTATTTTATAACTAACAAATTTCTTTCAAACATTTAAAACACTCTAAAATGTCTAACTTAAATTTTTTTCAATAAACGTAGATTTAGAGTGTTTTATGAAATGACAAGTTTAATAACATTAAAAGTTTTTAAAAATATTTTTTTTTGTTTAAATTCACGTTTGAATAACATTAAATTTGTCATTTTAATACAAATTTCTAGTTGAATACACTCCGCTAAATGTGGTTAGGAACTTAGGATCGTTTTTGTTTGGTGATGTTCTTTGTGACATCAAAATCTTACATTATATCTGGCAGATATAGAATATTCATTGTCTTTAAAATATAATTTATGAATCAGTGTCGCCAAAACCCCAAAAGTATGGAATAAAAATGAATATATACTCACTTATAGTTTTGACATAAGTATTATTAGATTCAGCATTTTTTCTTCGAGTTTTTTTTACTACCCAAAAAGAGCTTGTATTAGTTAGCTTGCCTTGTGATTGCATGGGAAAGGCACAAACATGAAACCATCTATCAACGTAAATTATTTGAATAATATTAATCATAACTGCCACAATGATCACCTAACATATCATATAAGATATTTCATCGTCTACATATGTATATCTTAGATCTCCAAGATATGATCTGATGAGTTCTGAATTTTAGTAGAACAAAACATATAATGTATACATATAGGCTTACGGCTCACCACATGATCAGAGTCACATGTCACTGTAAAATAATTGATGCGTATGAATTTTTTTTTTTTTTTTTTTTTGGTGTGATAGTAATAGTTTTGTCATAGTGCTTGCGAATTGAGACTTTATTTTCAGTCACTATTGGAAGTTTAAACCTGCAGGCGTATAATTTAATTTAGAGAATCGTATTGCAGTGTAGATATCGACAAACAAATAAAAGTCTCATTGAAAAGGTCCAACTATTTACACTATAATCATATAGACAGACCAACCATGTTAACTCATATATATATATATATATATATATATATATGTATATAACTAAGTATCTTATTATAAAAGATTTGAATTTAAATGAACTGAAAGAAACTTGACCAAGACAAACATAAAGTGAAAAATACAGACGCATGTGGATGAACCCAATTTTCTAGTAGACTGGTCGGCATTAGAACATGGCCATGTCCAGGCCATGCGCTGCAGTGGGGTTGCTCTTGTAATTGACTATTTTGTCACTGTCTATCTTTTTCCTTCGATTTCAATTTACCTTATCCGAATGTCTTAAGAAAATTGTACAAACAAGTTGGAAAAAAGAGGAAAGTGTAAATTTTATTTTGCTTGTTTTGGTTTTCATTTATCAAAATTATTATAGCAATTTGATTTTCTCATCCTGAGTTTTATTGTGAAACTAAAATAAGTAAGTTTAATTGACTACATTGCTCAATAATTCTTTCTATTATTTGTTGTAATCAATCCATATCCTTTTTTACCTATAAAATCAATTCATACCCAACCTGTTTCTCCCCCACATACATTAATGGAACCTTGAAAACAAAATGGTCATAGCTAGATATTAGTATTATAAAATGAAACTAATTTTGAATCATTGCAATACTTCAATTATGAAGGGGAAAAAATCTTGGTGAATCACATGGTATGAGTATTATAGTGATTTATGTTGCTAAAAAGTTTTTAAAAACAACTTGCTAGATATGAAAAATTAAAATACTATTATTGGGAATTACTCAAATAGAGTTTCTCATTTGAAAAACTTTGGTATGAATTTTTTAAAAGAAAATTAAAAATGATATTTAAATATTAATATTTATGTCAAATTTTATAGTTGAAAACCCCTTATGCAGATTACCAGTAAATTAAATATATAAATTCAAATATTTTTCATAGAACTTATCAAGTTTTCACAAACTAAATTCTTGAGTGGACAGAAATGGTATATTATTGCGAGAATAACCTCAAAAGAATTAACGAGGCTCTCTTAAGTATGCTCATGTGGTTACACTAATACGAAACAATATGTATAGAGAGGCAAAACACAACGTAATCAAGGTTCAATGGCATCAACAGGAAGTGAAGTTGTTCTTTTAAGACATTTTGGTAGTAATCTTTCTCCAAACATCTTCTCTTTCTCATTATTTTCATCTCCTTCCGGCCTCCACCTAGATTTTAACTGCTCATCCTGCATCTCTCTGACCTCGATTTGACACTTGGCTTTAAGCCATCTTAACTCTTGTTGAACCTGATGTTCGCTTTTCTCAGCTACCTGCTCATCGCAGTATAAAGACGGCAGAAACGAGAACGATCCAGAGCCTGATAGATGGTTTAACGTATTACTTGCTTCACAAGGAAACGTGATTTCAGGGTTTTCATATACTTCTTCTTCCTCTTCTTCTTCTGAATGGTTTTGACCAGAATCTATCGAGCTAAGCTCTCTACTCTCCTGCTGTTGCTGCAGCTTCCATATCTCTCTAAGACGAACCTCGGTTTCTCTTATCGTAATCTCTTCAAACCGACCATGAGTCTCACCACACCCGTTTCTGCAACACTGTGCAACGTTTGCTCCAGGGTTTGTCCTCAGGAAATCCATCACGGACCCCATTGAAGTGCGGTTCGATACGCAGTTGCTGCAAATGTTTGCGTTTGCAGCGGCTGCAGCAGCCGCGAGAGACTCTTCAAACTCAGGGCCTGGTCTCCAACTAGGCACAAGTCTAGATATCTCACCGTCTATCATGTTGGCTATCTTTGTGACTCCGTGATCGTCCATATCCAGCTCAGCTACCATCTCTGTTGCAACGCTCAGTGCTGTATCTGTCTCGATGTCAAATGGGAAGTAAATGTTCCGGACACGCCCTGCAACAAATCATTTTTATTACACTCAGGGTTAATAGGTTAAGTAAGAGTAATAGTAAAGTTTTTGTTTGTTACCTTCTTTGTCAGTGATCCTAAGACGCAAGAACAAGCCACCATCATCTCTTCTCTTGCCTTTAATAGTTATATCAACATTACCAGAGCTCTTGTCTTCTTCTTGATCATTTTCGTTGCGACACTCAAAGAGCTCTATTCCATGAGTCTCCTCTGTCTCAGCTGGATTATAAGCCCATCTGTTCTGATACTCATGGTGGCTGTCATAGCCATTTGAATACTGACGGTTCATGGAGCTACTATTTGATGGATAGTTGTTGTAGTAGTCAGCAAGATGATGAGGCTGCTGCCTAACTAATGGCACATCCATATCAACTGATCTCAAATCAAACTCACCATCATCTATTCGTAGAAAAGGGTCATCTAGTAACTCACGAGCAGAGACTCTAAGTGAAACAGTAGCCAAACACTTCTCTATGAAGTATTTAACTTCAGGGTCTTTCACCTTGTACAATGCATCTGGTTTCTTCCCCTGAAACCCCAAGTTTATCAGCCTTTTGAAAACAGAAAGAGATGAAGCTTTTTTAAGTATAATGGGAGAGAGTCTCTCACCGACATAACTTTCTTGTAGATCTGAGCAGGGTGAGTACACTCACTGTAAGGGTAATCAAACGTAACCATCTCCAAAATGCACATACCAAACGAGTATATATCAACTAGTTCGTTATAAGCTTCTTCGTATACTTCAGGAGCCATGAACTCAGGCGTCCCTACACAAAAAGACCAAAACTTAACAAAAGAACTTAGCAGAAAAAGTATTATGTAGGGATGTTTGTTGTGTATTATACCTACGCAATGAGCAGCGTGGGACTTTCTTAAAATGGCAGCGAGGCCAAGATCTCCAATCTTGACCTCTCCTTGGTTGCCATTAACGAAAATGTTGTCACATTTGAGATCTCTGTGGATTACAGGAGGGTCATGGCTGTGTAGATAATGTAACCCTCTCAAGATTTGTCTACACCAATGCTTAACAGCTCTTATGTTGACTCTCTTATGCCTCAGTCTATACCTGGATCCATTACAAAACCTCTCAGACATCAGAGAGACAGAACAAGCTTTGTTTGCAAAGAGAATCTTACTGTCTTAAGGTGCCAGAGGTGAACATTTCAGTAACGAAATTGATGTTTCTGTTCGCAGTATCAACCCAAGAAGTGTAGAACTTCATGATGTTCTTGTGTTTAAGTGTCTTGAGTAGATGAATCTCACAGTAAAGCCTCTCAAGATCTTCAGGGCTCTGTAAAAAATCGTAGAGCTTAACTTGGTTCCATGCTACTTCTATGCCTTCATACTCATCAAATGCTCTGTAACTACAAAATCATCAAAAGGAACAAGATTAATGTGATGTAAGATCAAAGAAACTGCTTTTTTCTTCTTTTTTTTTGCAGAATCTGAAATGGGTTTAGGTCAAAGTAATAAAGAGATCCAAAAGTAGCAATCTTTCTGTTGTGGGAATATTAATAAACCGAACTAGAAGTGATTCCAATAAGGGTAAGCAGAACAAACAAAAAAAGAGATCAGCTTTATGATGGGTTTGTTTGGGAGATTAAAAAGATTTCAACTTTATTATGAAAGAACAACAGCAAACATCACCAGATCCAGAGAGAGAGACTTGGTTTCTTACACAGTCTTTGAAGCTCCTTTACCCAGAACTTCATTATACTGTAAGAACAACAATAACATTAATATCAACAAAAGATAAAAACAAAGTAAATGAGATTTGGTTAAGTGAGAGAGGGAAGTTTTACTCTTCCATATCTTCCAGTAGGATCAACTTCAACAAACTCAGAGTAATCTGGTTCTAGATAACTCATCAGATTGTTCATCTCTTCTCCTCCCAATCAAGAGAGAAAAATAAATCTCAAATGAAAATAAAATATAAAAGTAATAAATAGTATAATAGATCTATCAATAAATATCTCTCTCTCCTTTTTTTTTAATATATAGGTGAGGTTGGGTTTCTTCTTCTTATATCATCATCATCTTGTTCAGATGATAATAAAGAGCTGAACAGAGAAGATGTATATGAAACTAGTTTAGATAAGAATAGTATCTGTATATACTCTCATTATTACTTTATAATAAATACTCTATAGTGAGAAAGAGAGAGAGAGAAGGGGATTTGAGCTGAGCTTTCTGCAATAGTTCAATGGAAGTTTTTTTTTCTTCTTTTGGTGGGTTATTACAGAGAAATACAATGACCTCGTGAGAGAGAGAGACAAAGACGTTATGCGTTTCTTGCGGAATGGTGGTCCACAAGGGGTACAAACTATAACAAAATATCAACAGTTTATCTTTCTCTCGTTCGGAACTTTTTTATTTTTTCTTATTTTTTCAGATATTACAGAAGTCTCAAATCTCAATGATAGTAGCAACTAGCAACGGTTTATACGGTACCAAAAAAGTATTAATCTATCTATACTATTATTTAATAAGTAAATTTGCTTAGTTGTCATGTTCTCCATAAATTTAGGTAATTTTGTTTGTTTATAATATTTTTAATATTTATCTATAATTTATTTATAAATAAAAAGAATTTATATAAATATATCATATTTTTAGAAAATAAGATAATGCTTCTTAATTATGTTGTTATCTATACTATTATTTAAGAAGTAAATTTGTTAGTTTTCATGTTCTCCATAAATTTAGGTAATTATGTTTGTTTATCATATTTTTAATATTTATATATAATTTATTTATAAATAAAACGAATTTATATGAATATATCATATTTTTAGAAAATAAGATAATGCTTGTGAATTATGTTGTTATCTTGAAATATATTTTATATGTAAAAATTAAATTTTCAATTAAGATATAAAAATTATTATATTTATTATATAACTAAAATGAATTTATATTAATAATTTTATATTTTTCTAAAATAAGATAATTCTTATGAATTATATTGTTATGTTGAAAATATATTTTCGTATTAAAAAACTTAATCCTAGATAATTTTGATCATCTATCTAGATAATTTTCTAAAATATATAATATTAATAATAAAATATAAATCATCAAAAAAATTATTTGAAAAGTGAAATTCTTGATTTGTCTCGATAATCCTAGATAATTTTGATCATTTATCAGAATTTCTCTAATTTGTTTATTATTGACTATATAATTAAAACTAATTTATATTAATAATAAGATATTTTAGAAACTAAGTTGATTTTTATGTATTATCATGTTATCTTGAAAGTATATTTTTCTATTATAAATTTTAAAATTAACATGTAAAAAATCTATACTATTATTTAAGAAGTGAATTTAATGTTTGTCGATTTTTCATATTTTCCATAATTGTAGGTAATTTAGATAATTTATCATAATTTCTATAATTTTATATATGATTTATATATTTAAAACAAATTTATATTAATAGTATTAGATTTTTAGAAAATAAGATACTTCTTATGTATTATGTTGTTATCTTGAAAATATATATTTTTATTTTATATAATTTAAAAGTAAAATAGAAAATATCTATTATTAATTAAATATAAATCATCACTCAAGAAAAAAATATTTAAGAAGTGAATTTGCTGATTCATTAAATTCTTCATGATTTTAGATAATTTTAATTATATGTCATAATTTCTATAATCTTATATTATTATTATATAATTAAAAAAAATTATCTATACTATTATTTGAAAAGTGATTTTTCGCAACGGAGCTTCCACCTTAAAAGTTGGAGTGGTTAATAATGTTTATACCTTTAATGGATAAAATATATAAATCAGCCAAAAATAAAAAACGAATTTATATTTATTTGATTAGATAAATGATTTAAATTAATAATAATGATAATAATTATCCATAATCTAAATATATATTTAAAAATAAAATAAAAAGATAATTTCCATATATATTGTGTTGTTATCAGAAAAATATATTTAATTAATATATAATCAATCATAAATTAGAAACAAATTTCACTGATTTGATGACTATTATTATCTAAAATAGTTGATATTAATAAACCATAAACTAAAACAGAATTAACATATAAGTAACAATAAATTAATTATATTTAAAAAAGTGAATTTGCTGATTTATCATATTCTCCATAATTTTATGTAATTATACTTATTTATCATGTTTTTATGATTTTGAGTAATGATTAATTATTACCCTTAATTAATGACTAATAGAAATTATTAATTTATAATTATGAACCGTATATTAATTAGATTTACTACCTGTAATGACAAAGTAAACATAAACTTAATGACTAATTGAATTTATTACTATATAATGACTAATTAGATATATTACTATATAATAATTAGAAATAAATCTTATTTGTCATGTTTCTTATGATTTGATGATTATCATTATCTAGACACTAGACTAGTGATTATAATAAATCTAACTATTCATTATATAGTAATAAATCTAATTAGTCATTAAGTTTATGTTTGCTTCGCCATTAAAGATAGTAAATCTAATTGTCATGTTCTTATGATTTTTACTATCCTTAATGACAAAGCAAACATAAACTTAATGACTAACTAGATTTATTACTATATAATAACTAATAGTTATTACTATTTGACTAAAAAAAATATTTATTACTAGATAATAATTAAAAATTCAATATATAATTAAACATAAGTAAAAAACGAATTTCAATTATTTTAGATTTATCTTTATCTAAAACTATTTTAAATTGGGTTATAGAATCTTTATTAACCTTGAAATATAATTATATTTTTAGTAGTATATCATTAATTATAAATTAAAAACGAATTTCATTTATTTGATAATCATCCTTATTTTTTTTTTTTATATTATGTCTTTATCAACATTGAAAAATAATTATATTTAAAATAATTATATTTGTTAATATATAATTAATTCTAAATTAAACACGAATTTATTGAATTTGATAATTATCATTATCTAATTTTTTATAATTCTGTTTTAAGTCTTTATTAACCTTGAAAAATAATTATATTTGTTAATATATATTTAATTATGAAAAATAATTCGCATAGAATTTATGTATAGATAGTTTACATTACTGTGTTACAAAAAAAAGATAGTTTACATTACTAAAGATAATTTTATTATACTTTTTTGTTATGTCTAAAAATGATATTAATTTATTATTAAATATTTAAAATTTATGAGTATTTTCACATTTAATTTTGTATGACAATTATTTATATGATGATGAAAAAATTTATATATAGAAAGAATTTGTTTAGATTATTATTAAATTTTTTGAGTGTATGAACAATGATTAATTTATTATAATTTACTTAAATTGATTATACTTGTTTATAGATATTAGAAAATTATTAAGCCCGCAAGTGCGGGCAAAACACCTAGTTTTTAATTATAAGATGTTAAAATCATCCATTTAGTTTTTTTTTAATTAAAAATATTATTAATTTTGTGTGCTAACTATATCTTAACGAGTAGCCTAGTTCTTCTATTATAAATTAACAGTGCTAGATAGGTACAGAATGTTTACCATAAGAGAAGCTTTAAAAAGAAACAGTTAGAACCTAAACTGGGACTGGAGACAGCGAGACAGTACATTAGGTTGTCGAGTAGATGTTCCGAAAGAGGCAACAATGGCTAGTTTGGCCACGTGTCAAGTTGCTTGCGTTATCACATAGTACTCTCTTGGAGTCCTGACCATACATCAACTCATATATAAATCACATATAGTACATTGAGCAATGATCGTAACTAAATTCAGAAAAGTTTTATAGTTTTTTTCAAACTTCAAGTGATAGTATTTTCAACAATAACCGCTAAGTTATTTTGACCATATATTACATATGCCGAGAAATAAACGGTATTGATCGTCTAAATAAAGTATAAGTATCAGATTCTAAAAGATATAACATATCTAAGAAATGTTCTCAGTTTTTTTGTATGCCCGCCCTATCATTAGTGTAGTGAACCCCAAAAAAAACACTTAGACCATGTTTATCGTCTGTCTTTATGAGTTTCTTAAGGGTGGGGATTTGTAAAAGTGGTAATAATCGATCACAAAAGAGACAAAAAATCGATCTTTGTTGGTTTTTATACTGTTTGTGAATCTTAATGACATGTAACGACACGCGATTGGTTTATTTTAATTTTTTTTAGTCTCAAAAAAAAAAAATAATAACAAAAATTTAAGAACCCAAAAACCTTTTTACTAATAATCATGCTCTTAGTACTACAAATTGAATTTCTTCCAGAAAAATTACCATGATCTTAATTTGAAATGCTTTTTGATTAGTACCAGAAAGATAGTCGAATCGTCTATTACCTAATAAACTAAATGAACCGAAACCTTAGTCAAAACTTTCCACAATTGTGATTTGGTTTAAAGAGAAATTTAAAATCTAAAAAAAATAAAAGTTAGTATATTTTCAGATCTTCCCAACTCGACACAACAAATGCAAACACTATAGTTGGAAACTAATGAACCCTTGTTTACATCGGCAGGAAACAAGATAAATTTACGTGTATTTTCATATCACTTCAAAGATTAGACTAATAAACCTTTGTTTTGGAAACGAGACAGATTCACGTCTATTAGAGGGCCAAAAAACACAGTATCTATTTAATAAACCAGAAGAGATCGATGGGGGGGCCATATAATTCTAGTTGAAGGACACACATGTGCATGTGGGTGAATACAAAGACATGCACGATCATCATAGCCTTTAAAATGGAAAAAAGCAAATAAGACTTGGTTGTGATAATGAATCAGACCAACCACAAATCTTATCTCTTTGGTCTTTTCCTCACCCCTTTAAACTTTATCATAAACTTTTATTTGACTGGTATTGATTTTCTCTTTTACATTTTTATACATATATATTACTATATTGGTATAACCCTATTGCCAATAACTTTAATTATTAAATTGGACCTTGATTAATATGACTACTTCGCCTGGTGATTCCGTGGTTGCCCGTACGGAAGTCACTAGTAAAGGTAATCCAAAAAGTAATCACAAGTTCACAACACCTAACTTCAATAAATAACTAATAATAAAACAAAATTAGTTTTATTAAAATACTGACAAAATTTGTATCGTTGTCACTTAACGATTATTAAACTAACTATGCATATGCATGGATCCAACAGTCCATCTAATCTCTGTAATATATACATCGTTGATTTAAATTGTGACACTAATAATGACGTTTAGCTGACAAATAAAAATAATGGTGATTGTTATTGATACGATATGCTTGGACATAAGTGGCATTAACAATAAATTTATGAATGGTTTAACGTACAACTAATCAATGTTTATTAGAGAATCTTAGGTTTGATAAATACCATAAAAATTACGATTGATTTTTCTTGTCTATTAGCTAGAGATATTTATTTTATTGGATTCTTTGTTTTATCTACCAGTTATGCTTGGTTTGGTCTAGGTGCACTAGACCTCTAGTTCTGTAAATATTTACGGTATTTCAGCCAACATAAACATTCAAAATATGCAAATTAACTAGTCAAAACATATATGCAAATTAAACATATTAATCATTTTATATATGAATGTTAAATTTAATAATGAAGTCCCCTCAAGGGTGAACGCCAGAAAATACCAAATTATCTTGAATACTGGATCGAACTCAAACTTTCAATATCATTTTTTTTTAAAAGTCTTATTAATCTATTAACAAATGAAATATTCATACTCAATGGGCAAAGACTCAAGAAGAACCCTGGAACAAAAATAACTCCGAAAATATTAACATAACTGCGTTATAAAAATAACAAAAGCCAACATAACTGCGTTATAAAAATAACAAAAGCCATGTATTATCTCAAGAGAGAGAGAGTGTCAAATCAATAAATAATTTAAGAAATAAAATACATTCGTTGATTAATTCTAAGAAAATATAAAAAGTTTAAACCCTTGTTGTCAAAACTCTATTTCTTAGTATAAAATTCTTATGTAGCTAACTTCACTGGTACGAAAATGTTTCGATATGAATTCAGTTTAGTTTAATAGTTTTATGGGAAGAAACTGTTAACTAAGGTGTATCGATTCGGTTTAGTGCTGGGTTCCCATGCAATGCATAAAACCCAAATGTGATTTAGTATTATTGAATCATTGGATTGATACATGAGACAAACATACCATGCTTATTACAGCTCCGTATACATTTGAGTCCGGATCAGAACTTATAAAATTATAGGCTAAGTGCTACATGGATGAATCTACTGAGCAAAATTAAATTATCAAGAACAACTAAAACTTGAATTGCTCAAAAATAGAGATTAGAATATGTGTTGGTAACGATATTTGAAGTGTTTTATTATATTGTAACAATCAAAACAGAAAAACATGGTTGATTATGTGAAAGAAATTAACAGCTATGGGTACAATAACAATCTTTAAAGCCTGGAATAACAGTGCACATGCCATGAGTATCACGCCAACCATGAGTGTTTTGCTTAATACAAAGTTTATCACAAGCATCGTTGTCGCACGGTTTCATCGCAATTGAATATCCACACCATTTTCCTGGGGGTGTAGGCGGCATGGGAATTGGTCCTCCAAATCCTATTTCCATCTCTGTATTATTAAGACATAAATTAAATATAGTCGAGTCTAACTTACATCAGGTATAAATCAAACTAAGATTGTATGTCATTGTTTTATTTTATAATCTCTGTTTTACACATATGATGGAATAATGATTATTAATTACCAGTAGAGAAGATGGCGAGCACGAGAAGAAACGCTACCAAAAAGCTCTTCATATTTTGTTGTTGTATATTATTGTTTGTAATCTTTTATTTGGGTTATGAGAGAGTGTTATCGATATTGATTGAAAAACAATGCAATAGGAGGTTATATACAGTGGCGGAGGTAGAAACAACATCTACTGGGGTCAAAGTTACATACATATAAATTTATTGGAAGAGTTACAACTATCAAATGAGTCAAACCATTAAAAGTGGACTAATTAATAATGTTTATTGCATTTATATGCTTATATTAGAAAAAAATAGAATTGATAGGAGTCAGTTGACCGTCATGTCTCTTCAGTGGCGGAGTTCGGGAGTTATATATATACTCTATAAACAATGATCGCCCCACTAAATAATAAGAATGAAATACAGATTCTGGCCATTTATTTGCTGTGAATTGTTTCTAATTTACTTGCCAAATGCGGTAAGAAATTTGAACGAACAAAATAATAAGATGTACACATTTCTATAAGTTTCAGAAAATCTTGATGAAAATAGTTGACTAAACGAACAAAATAATAAAATGTATACATTTATGTAAGTTTCAGAAAATCTTGATGAAAATAGTTGACTACACGAACAAAATAATAAGATGCATACATTTCTATAAGTTTCAGAAAATCTTGATGAAAATAGTTGACTACAACAGGTCAGAAATCAAATTATGCTTAAAAGTTAAAATTTAGGAATACTTTTTTTTTGTCAACAAAGCCCAATAGATACACAAATCCTTAGAACATGCCCATTAAAGATTTTTAAGAGGGGTTTACACGTTTTTCGAGAGAAAAAGTGGTGAACCCGGCTCGCGTGAGTTCGTCGTAGTGAACCTGGATCGTCACGGATTCGCCACGTGCCGGGTCATGATTTGCCGATTTTTTTTTTTGAAAAAATCAAAAAAAAAAGAAATTTAAAACGTGTCTAGGAGTTCGTGCCTGCCCAGTATCATTGATGGGCATGTTCTTAGAGCACCCCCATTGAAAGTTCATGGGGGAATTCACACGGAAATAAAGAAAAAAAAATAAAATAATAAAAACCTAGAACTTCTCTCTCCTAAAGTTCACCGCGGTGAACCACTCTCTCCTAAGGTTCAACACGTGGCGGCTCGAGATTGGTCTAGATTTTTTTTTGTTTTTTTTTATAAAAAAAAACAGAAAATTTTTAATAATAAAAAAATGATTCAATGAATCCCAAGAGGGGATTCATTGATGTGGATGCCTTTATGTGCACTAAAAAGTCGTCTACACATGTTTTTCTTCTTGTACAATGAGGACTACTCAAGAGTCAAGACTTAGCTCATTAGAAAATGTAGCTGTAGAGCTTCCATCTTTAGAAGAGGATGGGGTTTCATTGGTTCTGGATGTACATAACAAAATCCAATGCCACTATCCAGCCCTTCACGGTTTATATAGGTATAAAGAGTTTTTCTTTTGGGGTAAAATGTTAAATGTATAAAGAGTATTTTACTATCAAGAACTCTGGAGAGACATGGGTTTGTACTTGAAGATTCCTGAAACTCTGATTCAACAAGTCATGCTTTCTTGAAGTTTTCATATTTGAATTATCTCCTTGGCTGCTTCTCTAGCCATTCAGGGAAAACTGGTGAGGAGTTTCAAAAGTATAATGGCATCATCTTGTTTGTTTATGGTTTTGGTAGAGGTTTTCCACTTGGTTCAACAAAACAGAACTCTTCAAAGTGGTTCATGTTCCTAGTAAACTATCTGAATAATGATGTATTATTGAGTTTGTTTAAAAAATTTACAGCGCAGTGCTTAACATTAAACCACTGGAGATGGAACGTTGAGTTTGTCGAAATGTTGTTTAAAACTGGACACTGAAACTGTTTATTGTAACATTACATTAAACCACCAGAAAACTAGACACTGGGACTTTGCATAGTTTGATGATTGTATATCCACCAGAAAAAGTGTGCAACTTTGTACTCTTGCTTGTTTGTAAGAACATCAAAGTTCACTTGGATTGTCAAGTCAGAGAAAGAACTTTTACTGTATTTTCCTTTATACGTAAGTCAATTCAAACTTTTAGATTTGGATATCTCAATGGGTGGGGTGATCGAAACCAAAAAGTGTATGCAGTTTAACAGAGAACCTATGAAACTGCTTGCCGTTTGGCTTGATCACTACTCTCTCTTTTTGGCTCTTTTTGTCTGTGAGGAATCTTGAAAAGTTTAGTGAGAAAAGAGAGAGACATAGATGTGTCGTTTATGATGCATGCTACCTATTGCTTCAACAAAGTTTATTTTGGGTCTTTGTGGAATTATCACATGTTCGGCTTTCAGTCTAGTTTCTGTAATAATAATGCCACGACAAATACTATTGCATCAGTTTCCTATACCATGCACGGACCCCCATTCTACGTACCTTATTACGAGAACCCGATTGTAAAACTTCTTGGTTTTTGTTTTGTTAACATTTGGTGGGTTTTCGTTGTTGTTTTGATATTTGCAAAAGAATAAATACCATTTGTAATACTATTGTCCATGTGGGTAATGAACCCATCCAGTAAAGCACACACATGACATGTAATTCTATTTATAAAAAACGAAGATATGATTCAACATGCATTCTTCGAATTTACTACTTTGATATAGAAAGAATTATTACAAATCAGGGAATATTGTAAATAAAAGATGTTTGAAAATTACAAAAACAAGTAGTAATTCATGCCTTAACTGCTATTACTAAACAATATACAACATCACTTTGTATAAATTTCTACATAATTGATAAAGTATTAGCATCTTGTATTTTATGCAAACATCTTAAAAAAAAAGAAAAAAAGAAAAGTAAACTCTAACCAAGTACTCCTTCCGTTTCATTTCACTTGTAGTTTTAGATTTTTACACACAGATTAAGAAAAAATTAATTTTGTATATTTTCAAAATAAAAACACATTTCCTATACAACTAACCACATTACAACCAATAAAAAAATAAAATAACATTTATAATCAATAAAATTTGTTTTGACACTATAAACGACACTTATTTTGAAACAAAAAATTTATTCACCAATATCTAGGGATGGGCGTTCGGTACCCATTCGGGTTCGGTTAAGATCTATTTGGTTTTTGGGTTCACAAATTTTAGCCCCATTCAAATATTTCTAAATTTCGGTTTGGGTTTGGTTCGGATCTTTGCAGGTTCGGATAACCCATTTAAATTCTTTTTTAAAATTTTAAAGTTGATTATACTTTAAATTTCTAAAAACCTATAAACAAAATAATATATTACAAATAATTGAATAACATAAGTCAAAATTAAATACCTAAAATTAACATATAAATTAGTTTGACTATTTATATATATTTACAAGTATTTTGAACAACTTCAATGTATTTTATATATATTGAATGTTTTTTATATACATCAAATTTAAAATAATTAATATATATATAGGTATATAAATCTTTTTCGGATATATTCGGGTACCCGAAAAATACTTCGGTTCGAGTCAGGTTCGGTTTCGGTTCTTTAAATACCAAAATTTGGAACCCATTCGGATATTAAACTAATTTCAAGTCGGATTCGATACTACTTTTTCGGATCAGGTTCGGTTCCGTTCTTCGGATCCGGGTTCTTTTTTCCCAGCTCTACCAATAACATATAATTTGAAAGTATGTTAGAAAGCCCATAATGGTTTTGATAAAAAGTTCGAAGAGAAAAAAGCCCATGGGCTTAGAGAAACCAAAAACCACACGTCTTTCTGTTGCCGCTTTCCCGCTCCTCCGCCATTGAAATGAAATCTCCACCTTCGCTTCTTTTATTTTTACTCTTCAGAAAAAAACGATCGAACTTCTTCTTCGTTGCTTTGAGTCCACAAGGAGTCACAGACTTTTGTGGAGTTGAGTACGAGACCCAGTGATCACCCGACCTCGCCAGAGATGGAGACACCTGATAAGAACCGCATCTCCGCCGTTTCGTTCAGTAACTTCGAGGTTTGTTTTCTCTCAATTCATAATTTGTTAGCTACGATGATAATCTGTTTCCCAGATTTTTCGAAGCTTACCTCGTGTAGAAGTTTCCTAAATTACCCCCGTGTTATTCGCTCCAAAAATTTTATACGATGTTTTGGGGGTTGAAATTAGGGTTTGAGTGTTCTCCGGCGACTTATTTGCTGAATCGAATTGAAATTAGGTAAGGATTCTGAGTTTTAAAATCGGTGTTAATTAAACTGCAGGATTCTCCAGTGTTTCAATATATAAATGGTCTTTCACCAATAGAAGCAGTAAAGGCAGATCATATCTTCCACTCATTGGCTCTTCCATCTTTTTCATCTCTCTTTACCTCACCTCTGATCACATCTTCCCGAGATTCCAGATTCCCCCTCAAAAGGTAATAACGATATTAGTTTTTTTTTTTTTTTTTTTTTTTTGTTGATTAGGGATAAAGATATT